TTTCTTGAAGATTTTTTTTCGATAGTAACACAAGAAATATTACGTTTAGACTAAAGAGTTATAACATGTTATAGCGCAATCTTGATGGTGGTCTCTGCGTTGCAATTAATATGTGACTAATATAAAGCTTAGCATGCGCTATGTCAGCCTTATTTTATCAGGAGAATTAGCGGGCTTGTTGGTTACTTGGGAACGGTCTAAGGAGCACGGTGTCTGAGATTTTTCAGCCCGAACCTGATAATTTGAAAAATCTACATTTGCTTACTGAGATTCAGTGAAACGTTTGCTGCTATCTCATTAATATCATTTAATGGTTTCTCTTGGGACTTCCATTAAATTCTTCTGTGCACGAACCAATCATACTGAAGTCCGGCGGCAAATTGAGCACCACAAATTGATCACCTAGAACATTTTCGGTAACAGATATCAAGAGAAACCATCAAGTATTTCATCAAGAGACTTTAATGATTGTTTTGAAGAGATGTTTTCTCCAAAAAAGTATATTCTACAGCATAAGTTTCAATTTACTGGTGTTTATAAAGAGTGGAACAACTGGTGGAAACTAACGATTTAAATTTGGCTCACTCTTGACTAGCCTATCGGTCCCAAGTACATCGATTAACGTACCCCATTCTAGTTGAAATTCTAGTACTACACTATGTTTGTTCTGATTCGCTATGAAAGTTTGACAGATAAAATGAAGGACTCGTGGATTTTCCTATGTTTCGAGGGGTGCACCGACCAGCTTGGGACCGAAGAGAGTACCAGAGCTGAGCCAAAAAGTTGAGCAAGTTTCTTCAGGATCTTCTGGTCTTAGAGTTACCTCTATGATGGAACGGTCAAAAATTGTTCAGTCATGATTAAGTGCACATTGATTATGTTATTGTATAATTGATCAAACTTTATTTCCTTTTAAAGTTTTATGACTACAAAATACAGGAAAATTATTTGATATGATTTTGTATCGCTGTTGTAACAACCTTATTTGATGCTGAACGTCAATTTGCTTTGAAATGTTTCTTATTTCAACTGTTTTCTGAGTTTTCTTGAGGTTCCGCTTAACGATTGCCCAATATTGTTCAATTGGATGCAGCTCCGGCGAGTTTCCCGTAGTAACAGGAAGCGAGGGCTGGCTTAAATAGCGCGGAACAACTGTGTTTCTTCAAAAAAGGCCACAATCGTTTTTGCAAACATTTCATTTAATAAATATCTTGGTTGACAATGCCAGTTGTCACGATTTGTTTTTATTTTTTCGGAAACTGACAACTTTTTCTGCTTAAACTTCTCATAAATCTTTACTTTTCCGGTTGCCGTGTAAACTCTTGATCTGGGAGCTGTTTGAAATTCGCCTTGACGTATATTTCATCGTTCATTATAACGCAATCAAATTTCTGACGTAATCAATCTGCATGTTAATAATTTGGATTTCGCTTATGCACGAGCAAAACTTTGATACACTGTTCCTCTTGCTTTGACGCCATTTTGACAACTGAATGGAAAATGGCAAAAACGAAATATAAACAATACATATTCCGTACGCACTGACCTACAGAATGAGGGGTGTTCAAGTTTTTAAATGTACGATGCTCAACTTTTGGCTCAGCTCTGGTACTATCTTCGGTCCCAAGCTAATCGTTGCAGCCCTCGAAACATAGGAAAATCTATGAACCCCTCATTTTATCTGTCAAACTTTCATAGCGAATCAAAACAAACATAGTGTAGTACTGGAATTTATACTAGAATGGGGTACGTTAATCGATTTGCTTGAGACCAACAGGCAAGTCAAGTAGTGAGCCAATTTAAAATCGTTAGTTTCGTATTGATTGTTGATTATAGGGCTGCATCAACTGTTGTCATTAGCTTGCAAATAGATGTTTCTCCAAACTTAGTGTCACTGAAACTGAAGTGTTTAAAATATTACATAAGAAGTAACCATTACGTAGAAATTAAAGATTATAAAAGAAATTGCCTACATTTAGTAGCAAATATGTATTTTAATCAGAGATGAACCAGCCGATGGCTGAAAGTCTCTTTAATAAAGAAAGATAAGATAAGATGTATTTTAATAAATCTATGTTTATTATTTATTATTCAAATTACACTTCGCACAAGGACTCTAACGTCCAATGATTCAGGGAACCCAAATTCATAAATCACATTTACTAGGAAAGTACTGGGTAGCTATTTGAAGAGTTGATAATTTCACCCTATCTAGACATTTTAATTTTAGAGATTTCAAAAAAATTCAAAATATAAACAATACATCCAATATGATACAGAGCGATAGAGTCATCATAGCTACTGGATTTACTACACTGAAATAAATCGACACGTACCATTTATTGGATCCATCTTATAACATAGCAATGTTAGCAGATTTATTCATTCTATGTGATTATTGATAGATTCCATTGGATTATCACTTAAAAGCTATGACTGCGATATGGAATGAATTTTATCGTAATTTCACATACTTAGTATTTGATAATACTTTGCTTCGAGCGTGGTTAGCGATAGATAAGATGTATATGAATTTTGTCTGATATATTTCATGGTGAATAACTGGTGGGAGCAGACATCTAGAAACTAATGGAAAATCATATAAGTTTGCACTATGAGAAAATTCAGAAAAATATACCTGTTTTCATGATAAATATTGCTTACTAAAAGATATATCTTATAAGATAAATATGTTTATTTTATTGGAGTTGCTTTCAACGATTTTTGACGTTTGTTGATATGTCGCGTGAATACAGACATGTAGAAACTATTGGACAGTCATTTAACTTTGCACTATAGGAAAACATGTATATCTCATTGTAATAGCTTCCTTTGATTTTTGACGTTTAAAGATTGTAAACAGATCTATCCCAATCATTATATAGTCATATAGATTTGCCTTTTAAGAAATCCAACAGCAAACATTTTTTTTGGCATGGTTTTCTGAGATGAATATCGCTCTCAATAAAATATATCTTACATGATTGTTCTTCATAAATTATTGAAACAATTTCCAACGATGTTATCGTACACTCATTAAAATGATTAGTCGAACTGAATATTGCTAACAACAATGATACTGTATTGAATAATCTTTGTTTGTTATTGTTCCAAAAGGTAAGGGGTTTCGGAAAAGAATGTATTGAGATTGAAAAAAATATGATTCTACTGCAATATTTACTTTGCTAAGATTCTAATTGCAAGCCTTCTACACACAGTTTAGAAATTATCGCCGACTTCGGTAATTTTTACCGAAATCTGAACAACTGAACTGTTCGGTAAAAGCTACTTTGAAACTAAATCTCTACTAAAATGACAAGATTTGATTATTTAAACAAGTTTGAACATGTTTTGAAACTATTTTCAAATTCAATTGCCTTTAAAATGAAGGTCAAAGTTTTACCGAATGTTCAGTTGTTCTGATTTCGGTAAAATTTACCGAACACGGAAACAAAATCTTAGTGTGTACGGCTAATTCAGATTCCAGCACTAGTACTCGAACTTCATGAACCAGTTCCATGAACTCATATAATGTAGTCGTTGTTTTATTGCACACAGGAGCATTAAGAAAGATTTGAATACACGACACCACCGAAACGGAGCATACATTTTTTACTGCTATTTTCCTTCACTCTAGCAAAACGAGCATAACGTTGCACTACATTCCATGTCGGGAGAGCTGTTCTTACTTCATGCTAATTGAACGAGCCCAATCTTGAAGTCACCCGTGGCCCAGTGGAATCAAGCGCAGACACCGAAAGCATCACACCTCAACAGTTCTTGATCGAATCCCAAATCAGCTACAATAAAAAAAAGACACAACTGTGAAAACTCCCGCGCCTGATGTTTATTTTTCGATTTATTTTTAGATATCGATTAAATCTATGTTTATTCTTCGATTTATTTTTAGAAATCGATTAAATCTATGTGTCAAAAGAAGAAGTAAATTTCATGTGATTTTCACATAAACTTTACTTCGATTGATTTATGACAAATATATTATATTGTGGTGAAAAGTAAAGCTTATGCTTATGGGTTTCAAATCAATTTCAGTGATTTATTATAATTTGACCGATTTTCATTTATCATATGACGATCATATAAAAGTAACCAAATTATTAGCATTGTAAATGTATCAGATATTCATATAGAATTTACCTGGCACATTTTCAATCATATAATTTTCAATGGATTATCTTATCGCGCAAATTTATTAGACTTCCACGTAACAGGAATATGTCATATTGGTTCAGTGTACCATTAGTTGGTCAATATCCTTTTTTGTAGAAATCTTGACCTTAAACGTGATCAATTTGCCTCCGGTTTAAGATATGTATATTATTTGACAAATCACAGGTTAACATGACAGCTGTATGTCTCTTTTATTCATGCATCTTCATTTCAGGAATCAAGTATTACTATTTTTACTATCTTTATAAACTTCAAGGTTCATTCACCTCGGAATAAATTGTTGTGATTACCATGGATTTGTCAAACAATATAAATGATATTGTCCATACGGTGTGGCCGTCGGCTGGTTCATCTCTTAAAATATTATATGATTTGATACATATTATAAGATAGATATTAAGGGCTGTCTACAAACCACTTAGACACTTTTGATGATTGGATGATTTTCTACGAAGAAGCTGACAACGCTTTTTATGGACATTCCCTAATAATATTAGTTTGTAGTCTGTTGAATTCATTCCAGAAACAGAAATTACGCTGTCATGTCGCATATAATGTCATCGTATTATTTTTATTACATCAAATTTATCACAAGACTCTGAGCTTTACTGACAGTTCCAATGCTTCTTCCCATTGCTGTTATTTAATTATACATACAGAACTAATGGTATTTATGGAAAATACCCATGCATACACTCCCCGCTCTTAGTGTAGATAAACATGTGCATATCATCGTAAATGTATCGAATTTCATCATTTTCACTAATTTTTTATCTCTTTCTTATTCAATGCGCTTCTTCTGAACATAG